AAAGGGGCTTAATCAGGAGCTAAAAGTTGAAGAAGGGACATTTAGAAGGGTGAATTTCTGTCTCCAGCAGTTTTTTCTGTATGCCCCAGTGGCCTAATGGACAAGGCACTGGCCGTCTAAGCCAGGGATTGTGGGCTCAAGTCCCACCTGGGGTTACAGTTCTTTCTCAGTGACAAAGAGTTTACCTTCTTCTGCTCACTGAAACAGTTGATAAACACACCCTAGGATTAGGGTTCGAGTCAGACAAAACCATTTTAATATCCCAGCTGGGGGTGGTGGTATTGCAGATGGCAGGGAGTTACCCCTTACCGATACAAGCCTCTCCTCACACTCAAACGTCTGAGATATTTATACCTTCTTACAAAGTCACAGTGGAAATTTATAGAGAAAAGAGGAAGTAAGGCACTTTTCTCTTAGATGGTAACATCTGCTTGACCCGATAAACAGCAAGCAGTGCGATTTTTTGTTTGTTTGTTTAACAGTATTGTGGTTTCTTACTCAACTTGCTTAGGAAGCTCCCTTCCTAAAGAACGACGCAGGTGGGGATTAGGGAGGTAAAAATGCTTAACAATACTAATCACGTAACCGATTACAATTTTATCAATGACAGTATTTTTTAACCTGCTGACAGGCAGGGCTGGAAGTGGAAATGGGCTCTCCTGGTATTAGATCTCTCACAAGGTCTGCTGGGGGCAGCCACAAGAACTGCTGGCCAATGGGAACGCCCAGCAGCTGCAGACTGAGGTTAACTGCCAGAGGCAAGTGGGCACTGCTGGAGCAGTGGGAAGTTTATCAGGCACCAAGAAACATTAGCTCATCAGTTAACCAGTTTGAACTCTTGCTACAATCCAGTTGAATCCCAGTTCTGCCTGGCATAGACCTGTGCTTCCTGAAACCCTGCTATGGGTAGAGTGAAGGTGCTCGGAGTCCCACACAGCATCCAGCCCAGCAACCTCATCTACTGCCAGCTGCTGCGTCAGAGTTTAACTCCTCACGGAGGAGCCCAGGAGTTCAGCATCCCAGTGGGAAACCTCCTCTCCCTGCTGGGCCTGGGGCTTTATCAAGGCATCTTTCCCTCATAAGGGCCACACTTCATCACTGTTCAGTGATGCTGAGGGGCAAGGAGCTGGGTCCCTACCAGTTAGGGCAGGGACTTTCCCTTGCTGGGTGTTGTGCAAGGCCCAGATGCCACTGCGGGTCTATAAGGCAAATGCCAGATTATTAGTCCTGCTCCTCCAATCAGTAACAGCTTGTAACCTCCTCTTCTCCAGTCCCAAGACAGCTCACTGACCGAGTGGCCTGTAGCTCCTGTAATCTAAACCTCTCTGATTGTTAACAACTTCCCTTGTGCAAACACCCCTTCTGCCAGCAGTGAGGGCTGGGTTTCAGGATTCAGAGCCTCAGAGAAACATTTCCCACATCAGGTATCTGTAAAGACTTGATGTACGTTGTACCACTTGTACAACATTTACTTTTTACAGCATCTCTTCAATCATGAAGGCTTTACAGAAGTGGTCACCAACCAGAGACTTGATGTAAGTTGCCACAAAGCCAGAGCATTTACTTTTTACAGCATCACTTGTACCATGAAGGCTTTACAGAGCTGTGCCACACCTGGGCCCGGTAACAGTCAGTGAAATTAGCCTGTAATTAAAACCCAACGTTATTTCCC